TCTGATAACTTCACCCTTATTTTACAGATGGAGCCAAAGGACTCAAAGAGATTGAAGAAGCTGTAAAAAGTCCTATTTTTAGGTAATAAAAGAACTAGTTAAACAAGATCTCCCAACTGCCAATCTAGTGTCCTTTAAGTATATCATACTATCTTAATCCTTGCTTTTAAAAATGATGTAAAGCAGCATTTAAACACAAAGAAAATAATTTCAGATACCTTTATAGAAAATTTCAGCAGTTTTTGATTTTCTTTGATTCCTTTCACTTCAAGATATGCCAGCATCACATCTTTCTCTTCATAATTGTGATAGATCAATCATATGACAACTGATAACTCATAATTCTATTGCGTATTTCTTCTTTATCCATGCAAATTTCTTCTAGTGCAATTAGATCAAATTTTCAAGTTGGGAGGAAAAGCTATGGGCCTTTTCACCCAGAGCCTACAGGTCTTATATCCATTGTTCAATTGTAGCCAAGCTCTTATACAGTATAAATGTGAATTTAGACAACTTGATTCTTGATTTCGAGGCTTGACAGGGATATTCATCTACATGTACAAATTATGTTTATATAATTGGTGGGAGGAAGATGTAAATTTCAGGCTCATTTCTTATCTTGGTTATTTTACAAAATGATTTCCTTTTGTCTTCTCTCTTGACATTTTTCATATTACATAGACACTTCAGTATATTGTACTTCATTCCTCTTTCTTGTTACCAACAGAAGATATGTAATCTCAGTCATTTATACACTTCTCCCTCTACCTACACTTTCTCCCTTTTATATTTGCCTATTTCATTACCATTTACTATCTAGTTAATTACTCATCCTTTAGGTTTCAGCTCAGTTGCCACCACCTCAGAGAATCTGTCTTTCTGTTTATTATAAAGCTCCCTGTCTGGTACCTTGCACTCTATTACTTCCTAGTGGTTTTATTTATTCACAGTTCTTATCACAATATGTAACTATCTTATGTGTTTGTTTTCCTTTCTGCTTTTCTATCTACTTGAACATGAGGACCAGGTAAACAAATGATGAGCTTATTTTGCCCCAATATGAGGCCCAGTACCTGGTATACAGTAGAGGCTCAGTGAATATTTGTTGAATGTTTATGTGTCTTATGTGACTTCGGTGACAGTGTCTATTTTATTTTCAGTGCTGTGTGTTAAATCTTGGCTCTTAATAGAATCTTTTCTTGATTATTCTCTTAATTGATGGATTTAAACACAAAGATGGAATTCTCTACCTCTTCAGTGACCTTGACTCCAGATCCATTAAATGACCAAGTTTTCTAGAGCAGTGGACCTGGGTGAGTTATACTGACTAAACTTCGATTTTCTAGAGCATGCTGGACCATCTTGTTCCAAACCATGTGCTTTCTGGTAGTTTCTGACTACAGGTGGTTTTTGAGCTCTTGAATGTGGCTCATATGAGGTGGTAAGTCCAGTGAATACAAAATACACATCATAATTGGAAAACAAAGAATAGAATGTTAAATAGATAATTAATAATGTTTATATTGTTTACTTATTGAAACAGTAGTCATTTGAATATATTGGTAACAATTGAATATAGCATTAAAATTAGTTTTTTCTTTAAAACTTTTATTTTTAAATTAAATTATATCTTTGGACAGTATTAGAGATTGAAGCAATATCTTTGTACTGAGATACATCCCCAGATTATTATTTTATTTTTACTTTAAAGCAGGGTCTCACTAAATTACTCAGGCTGGGCTTGAGTTTGTAATCTTTTTGCCTCAGTCTTCCAGCGTGCAGGGATTACAGCTTTGTGCTGTCAGGCCTAGTTCTTTGACCTTTTTAAATGTGCCGGTGCCACACTGAAAATTAATTACATGGATTATATTTGTGTCTCACATTGTATTTTTTGAGCCACCTTGCCTTAGAACCATCTAACTCACTCCAGTTATAGTGTAATGCAGGCTGAGAGGGGTTGCTGGAGTAAAGTGAAGGACTGCCAGAGTTTCAACAGCCTTTCACAATCTTCTCCTCTCCTCTTAGATTTGTACTGGGGGGAGAACTGGCACTTACAGGCAGGTGCTGCTCCAGTTCAACCGCAGTACAATCTGAGGCTGAGATAAAATTTAAGTTCCAAGACACAGAAACTTTAAATATATTGCCAGTGTCACACTTGCTTTAAAACAATGCTGGGACCAGTATCCAGTCTTTCTTTTTATTATTATGCCGTCATCAGTTTACTTTTAGAAGGATATACTAAGAAAAGTATATCCTTTTTAAAGTTAGATACCACCAAATTTCAAAGAAGTGTTGATAAATTAGGTAGGCTCTCTAAAATCATCAATGAGACTTTAGTCTTTAGATGGTTAAATAAATGGGAAGTCATGGTGTATACTTCGGCAAATTAAACGAGTTCCTCTGTAACCACTGCTCATACACTACAATAGAGCATTAAAATGGATTGACCTTTACTTAGGAGCATAAACTGCAAGGAAAAATTTGAACAAAAAATTGGATGTGAACATAAAATCTGCCTGTAAGTAAATACAAATGTAATAACTGTCCTTTACATAGTAATGAAATTTACTTGGAGACCATGCACTGTATGTTTGGGAAATTGGTTCTACAGACTGTACGAACTGTCACCATAGGCATATCAGTCAGTCTTCTCTTGGGTAAGGAAATAGAGTTTTGAATAAAAACTTCATGATCATGACATTCCAGTCCATTGATTAATTCACCAAATATTTAGTTTGAGTTTATTATGCGTCAGCCATGTTCTAGGTGCTCAAGATACTACAGTAACTAAAATACAAAAGATTTTGCTCTTTGGAGTTTAAATTCCAATGTTTATCTATTACTATGTTTTGATATGGGTTGTTCCCCAAAAGTTCATGCACTGGAAGCTTGTATCTCAATGTGGTGATGTTGACATTTAGGTGGTGAAAACCTTAAGAGATGTGACCTCTGCCCTCATGAATGGATTAACTCTGTCTCCTCAGAGAGGGGCACGTGGTGTACAAAGTTGTAAGCCCAGCACTTGGAGAAGCTGAAGCAGGAGAGCGACAAGTTGGAGCCCAGCCTGGGAAAATTAGTGGTTTAGCAATATTTTGTCTAAAAATAAAAACAAAATAACAAAAAAAGAACTGGTGATGTAGCTCAATGTGAAAGCCCTGAATTCAATCCCCAGCACTCCCACCCCCACCTCAATTTCAAATAAATGGGACTGGATTAGTTCCTATAAGAGTATGTCAGAATACAAAAGGTGGTTTGAATCTTCCTGACCCGTCTCTCCCACACATTCCCAAACACTGATTCTGACTTAGCCAGAAGGCTTTCATCACAGGCTAGAATGATGGAGGCTACCTGATTTTGGACTTCTAGTCTACAAAACTATGTGCTAAATAAGCCTGTTTTCTTTATGTATTATCTAGTGCCAGATATTTTATTATGACAACACAAAACAGAAGGCAGGTATTTTCTCAATAGAGAAAATAATATATAAACATAGAGTACATCTAAACAACTGCTTTGGAATGCTGTGAGTGACATTTTTGTTGGCAATTAAAGTTTCTGCAATATATTCTATTTGTGCCTTTTGTAGGAAATTTGAAAACGGAGGCACTGATGCTAAATGTCCTTACACACAACACTAGGTATCTACATTATGGATTTGCAAGAGTGTAGAAGGCACTCTTAAATTCCTTAACATGCTTCAAATACAATAAACTGTGTTAAAGGACACTTAATAGATCAGGGGGCTTGGGGTACCTGTCCGCTATTCCCTCTGCTGGGATATTTACAACTTCGAGCTAAGCAGAGGTCTTAGTTTTTATCCACAAGTCTGGCAACTCCTCACCAGAATGCCTTTCTTTCTCACTCAACACAGATTCCCTTTCTCTTTGGCATTCTTCACAGTCCACGAATTGCACCCCTCAGACAGTCTGTTCCCTGCTTATTTTCATAAGGTCTACGACTTCCCCTCCATCCTGGCCTCCAAGAACTGCTTCTTGATGGCCTTTTGCCCCTGAAAGCTCAGCCGGTAGATGTCTCCATTACTCTCATAGCCGAGACCAATCTCAGCAAGTAGATGTCCATCATTTCTTTCACTGATAGCAAGGAAGAGGATTTAATAACCTGTCTAAAAGTTAGATGCTCCGGAGAAAGGACCTCCATCCTACGCCCCTTCCATCCAGTTTGGTTGGAAATGCAAACTGCTCCCTCCTCCCTCTTTTCCAGGCGAAAGAGAAGGGTGATTTAAGGAAGCGTGGACGACGCCGACTCCGTCCTCCTCCTCGGCTAGCCCAGGTTTCCTGCGCTTAGCTCCGCCGCCAGTCCCCTCCCGCCACCCCCGCGCGTTTCCCAGTCGTCAGAACGCGAGTGGGTGACCGGGCTCGGGCGCCCCCGCCCCTGCCCCGCCGCCCGGATTCAGCATTGGACAGCGCCCTCACGCCCCGCCCCGCCAGGGATTGACACGGGAACCGACCAATCAGGGCGCGGGACGCCTCGCGGCCGCCCCGCACCGCCGTGGTTGCGGCCGAGCCGGCTCCTTAGCGGGCGCTGCTCCGGCGAGCGGGCATCGGCGCTGCGGTTCGTGGCTGCGGTCCGCCCGCTGCCGGGCGCTCTGGGCTGCACAGGCGCGAGGTCTGCACCGAGCCTGGCCCGGGGCGGCTCCTGCGCTCGCCGGCCCGCGGTGCGGCTCGCGGAGCAGACCCCGGGTGCGGCGGGGAGGAGCCGGCGGGCGAGCATGGAGCGGCGGCCGCGGCGGGCGCGCGGGCAGCAGCGGCAGCAGCGGTGGCGGCGGCGGCTCCCGGACGCACCTCAATGAGCGCGGCGGCGGCGGCGGCGGGCAGAGACCGAGCGCGCTCCCTGGGCGCCGGGCGCGGGGATGTGAGCGGTTGGCGCGGGGCTGCGCGGCGCACCGTCCCGAGCTGCCCGCGGCGGAGCCAGCGCGGCCAGCCCTGCCACAGGTGACCTGAGCTCCTGTGCCGGCGGCGAGCCCCTGCACCCAGCGCGAAACGGTCTCCGGAGCCCTGTGGGACTCGGCGCCGCCTGGAGAAGGGGCCAGGACACTCCCGCCCGCCCGGAAAAGTCTCACTGTTGGTAAACCGACCACCAGAATTTAAAAAGTGACTGCTCGGGTCGCCGCCTCTCCTCCGCGAGCCCGAGGAGACATGGCCTGCCCTTTCCTGCTCTGCCTCCTGCTCGCTCAGCCGGGAATGGGGGCGGTCGGCGCCAGCCGCGACCCCCCGGGACAGTCGGATGCCCCGCGGGAGAGGACCCCGAGGGCCAAGCAACACGCCCCGCAGGCGGCTCGAGCCTCTGCCCCCGACCCCTCGGCTCCCTGGAGCCGCTCCGCCGACGGCACCATCTTGGCGCAGAAGCTCGCCGAGGAGGTGCCCGTGGACGTGGCCTCTTACCTCTACACCGGGGACTCCCACCAGCTGAAGCGGGCCAACTGCTCCGGCCGCTACGAGTTGGCCGGCCTGCCGGGGAAGTCGCCAGCCCTCGCCAGCTCCCATCCCTCCCTACACGGAGCGCTGGACACACTGACACACGCCATCAACTTCCTCAACATGATGCTGCAAAGCAATAAGTCTCGGGAGCAGAACTTGCAGGACGACCTGGAGTGGTACCAGGCGCTGGTGCGCAGCCTGCTGGAGGGCGAGCCCAGCATCTCCCGCGCGGCCATCACCTTCAGCACGGAGTCCCTGTCCGGGCCCGCCCAGCAGGTCTTCCTGCAGGCCACTCGAGGAGAGAGTCGCATTCTGCTCCAGGACCTGTCCTCCTCCGCCCACCATCTGGCCAACGCCACCCTGGAGACGGAGTGGTTCCATGGCCTCCGGCGCAAATGGAGGCCCCACTTACACCGCCGTGGTTCCAACCAGGGGGCCCGGGGCCTGGGCCACAGTTGGCGGCGCAGGGACGGGTTCAGCGGGGACAAGAGTCACGTCAAATGGTCGCCACCATATCTGGAGTGCGAGAACGGGAGTTACAAACCCGGGTGGCTGGTCACTCTTTCCGCTGCCTTCTATGGGTTGCAGCCTAATCTGGTTCCTGAATTCAGGTAGGAAGAAGAGAAATGGGCAAAAAGCCTTTCCGGTTTTGCCGGTAGGGAGCGCTTGTATGGAAAGAACGCTGTCTGTGACAATTGTCTCCCTGCCTCAGAGCAGAGACCTGGGGGCGAGGGACAGTCAAAACACCCCGTGTGCATAAAGGCCAGAGCACCCCACATCTGTTAGCTGCAAGCACCCAGAGAAAGCCTTTCTCTTAGAGGAGTGTCAAGAAACGGCACTGGGTAGAGCGCAGCTGCTGGTGTATGCTTCCCTACAACCCTGGGGATAACAAGGAAGGGAGTTCCCCGTTAGGGGGTGCCACTGAACTTGTTGAGCTTGCGGTGCCCAGCTCAGTGAACAGGCAAGTATCAGATGACTGGAGAGCAGGAGGAGGAGCGTTTCTCCTGTCTGGCACTTTGAGGTAGCTTCTGCCAGCTTCCAGCACTGTCTGGGGCACCAGTCTGTTGTTTTCAACTACCACAGTATATAATTAAACCTGCTCTGTGCCCTTGGGCAGTTCTTGCCCTTCAGCAGTGAGTCACTCTCAGGGGCCAGCTGTCTCCAGCATACAGATGTGGCGATTTGGTCAGTGTGTGCTTTTTATTTGGTGTCCCCTTCTCCCAGTCCTTCTTCCCTTCCCTTCCCTGCTGCCATCTTTCTCCAGCTCCCTGTGGTGAATCTAAGTGTCCTGCAGCCCCTCACATACTCACACACTTTATAATGAACCTTCTTGAGTTCTCTTAGGGAGGGAGGGATCAGTCTGTGTTTGCTGCCTGGAGGTACAGTGTGGCATTTGACCAAAGCTGAGAATTCGCAAATTTGCATTTTGTAATTTCTGCCCTGGGAAGTTCCTGACCTGTGTGGTGAGGAACTTTTAGATGCAGGTTTAAGAATAGATGTGAGGAAGAGATATAAGGAAAGGGAGGAAACTCAAGAGAGGTTTTGAAAAGAACTGCAGATTGATTGGGATCCTTCCTGATTCTCATGATGGGAAGCTCTGGAAAGAAGGACTCTGAGTTTGCCTCTGTACCTCCTGGGAACCTGGGCAGAAGTGAGGAAACTTTCCGTGGAGGTTATTTGGTTTAGCTTTTCCCTAGCATAGCAAGAATGGGATGTGTAACTATTGAAAGATATCAGGGCAAATACTGTGTAGGCAAATGGGGAGTCCTAAGGCTGTGTGTGTGTGTGTGTGTGTGTGTGTGTGTGTGTGTGTGCGCGCGTCTAATGTTATTTACTGCTCCCAGGCCTAAAGCAAGTTGCTTAAAACCTCCCTGGGCCTCAATATGTATTTGTCAAATGATGGAATTGAACTCGTGTCTAGGGACACACAGTTTTATAAAGTCTGTAGCTTTTAATGCTGGCAACACTTGAGAAGGCACAAATGAAAAGCACCCCTCTTTGGTTTTTTATGACCTCACTCTGTGTGTGTGTGCATGTGTGTGTGCATGTGTGTGTGTGTGTGTGTGTGTGTGTGTGTGTGGTGCCTTTAAAGATTCTGTGTTAAACCAGTGTAAGTTTTCCACTTTTAGGATAATCTTATTTCCTCCTGATTCCTGCAGGATCCTGTTAGTAAGAGCTGAGCCTAGCTTTGAATCTTTGCCATATCATTTGCTCAGGAGAAAGATCAGGAGATGTCATTCATTGCCACTAAATTGTGGCCTTCAGATGAGCCTTTTCATGAAGTCATAGATGCTATCTATCTATCTATCCATTCATCTAACATCTACTATCAGACTCTGCTAACTGATTTGCATTCACTGTCTTGATAAATCTTTAGAATAATCCTGAGTTAGATTTTATTATTGCCTCTATTTTACAGAAAAGGAATCTTGAGCATGTGCTGGGAGTTAAACTTCTTATGTAAGTTTGTCCAACAGCCAAATAGTAGAGCCAGGATTTAATCACATCATACCTTTCTGAAAGTGGCTTAGGGATGCTACATGAACATAAGTGTGTTTTTGCTGGGTGTGGTGGTAAATGTCTGTAAGCCCAGGTACTCAGAACGCTGAGGAAGGATGATAGCAAGCTTGAGTCCAACCTGAGCAGCTTAGTGAGACTCTGTCTCTAAATAAAAATTTAGAAAGGCTGAAGATGCAGCTTAATGGGAGAGTGACCCTGAGCTCAACACTCAGTATAAAAAAAAGAATATATTTTCATATACTGGGAATGAAAGCCATTTATTTTCAGAGCTCTTTCTCTTAAAGATCACAAAGCACAGGTTACCTAAGGGAGTTGGTCTTCTTCAGCCATGGTGAAAGGCCGAGGCACGGTCTGGGGTGGGAAGGCTACAGTGCCCCCTACACATTCTTTGATGACAATTCAGTCAATTGTTGGCAAAGTCCAAACCCAGGCCATTTAGAATCCGGCTTGCTGCAGAAGCTGGCTTGTCTTGACAGCACCACAAAGAGCAGGATAAGTGTTCCTATGAGTGCTTTTGTCCTTGTCCTCTGCCCCCCATGTTATATTGAAGACATGCACAAAGTTTAATCATAGGAAGTAGAAGATACCTTAAAGGGATCAGATAGTTCTATCTGTCATTTCATAGAGAAACAGCCGAGAAAGGAAAAGTGACTGGCCCCCAAATTCATATATCAAGTTGTAGCAGCAGCAGAAGTAGGACAGAGGCCTTTGCGTCTGAGTCACACGATTTGTTAAGTGTACACCCCACACCTATGTCTGTGCCAGTCTGAACCTCCACAAACAACCCATAAGATATGGGGATGTATCTATTCTTCATCATTTTCTTTTAGGACAAAAAGGAAGAAACCCCCCACAGATTACAGCTGTTTAATCTTGTTTTTTGCTTTTGAAATGGGGAATCAAATCCAGGAACCTTGAGCTACATCCCATTTCCTTTCTTCTTTATTGTTACATTTCCTTTAAAAAAAATTAGTGTGTTTTTCCAATAGAGAGCAGCGATGTTCATTTGGGAAATGGTGCACACAGGTAACATGTCTTGATCGTTTTTGATCCCTGTATTCCTATCTCCCTTTCCTCTTTCTTCCTCCAGTCCCATTCTCCATCTCCAAAAGTCTGCCTTCTTATTCCCCAAAGTTGCCTGTCTTCCCTCCCTCCCTCTCTCCCTTCTTCTCGCCCTTCCTTCCTTCCTTCCTTCTTTCCTTCCTTCCTTCCTTCCTTCCTTCCTTCCTCCTTCTTTCCTTTGTATTTAGGTTTCCCATGGATGAGAATATTTAACTTTGTCTTTGACTTGGTTTGGTTAGCACTATAGTCTCCAGTTCCATCCATTTTCCTGCCAAAGAAATGCTTTTATTCTTTATGGCCAAATAATATTCTTTCATGCATGTATGCCACATTTTCTTTTTCTGATTTGTTTTCTGATGGGCACCTAAGCTTTTCCTGGAGACTGTTAATTGAGCTTCTATCAACATGGGTTCGTAATGACAGGGCCTCGCTATGCTGTCCAGGTCTGGCCTTGGAGCTGTGTAGCTCCAGATTTCCTGTTTTGACTTCCCAAGTGCTGGAAGTACAGGTGTGTGCTGCCACAGCTGGCTTTTCTTTTGATTTTAAGACAAGATCTTTCTAAGTTGCTCAGCTGGCCTCAAATTTGCACGCTTCCTGCCTCAACTTCCCAAGTAGCTGGGATTACAGTATAAACATGTGTCACTGCAGCAGGCTCCTTTGTTGAGCTTTTACGAAATGCAGTATATTATTTATTTCACACATTTGAGGATATTTGGGTATTAAAGGGGGAAATTGTTTTGTTGTTGATGTTTAATTGTCTAAGGTGTGCATTCTAAAATTCAACAATGTAAGAAAATAATACTAGACAGCCATAGTAAAAGGGTAAGCCTGAAATGATTTTTTTTACAAACCCAGGATTCCTACTCATGATTTTAATAGTGTTTTGAGTATGTAGAGCATTACTGGCAAAAAGCCTGACTTGTAAGAAAAATCTATTGATAATTATTTTCTTAAGGAAGAGAAAAAGTGAAACTATATAGCTAAAGTCTTCATTTAAGATCATTTAATATTTTCCTAGATCTTATGTATAGGATTCAGGCATTTAAATTATATTAGTTTTAGGTAAATATAAATGCATAACACAAGGTTCAAAAGTAATGTGGAGAACTTTGTCAGCTAGCTTCTTACATTACTGTTCATCACTACAAAAAAATCACTCAGAAAAAAAATTTCCCTTGAGTTTCAGAGTGACACAAGTATTTTAAAATTTAAAACTTTGCCTAAGGCATAAGTAGAAAGTTTATTGTTCATTTTTTCGTTAAATAAGTGGTAGTAATTTCTCTTTAACTAAATGGTTCTTGATCCTTTCATTGTAGACTGATAGTAAAACCACTTTAGTTCTCATTTTTCTATCCTAGCAAAAGAGAAATAATAATATAGGTACACAGTAAAGTATTTTTACTTAGTCAATTTGTATGTGTAGCATTTTCTTTAAGGTTAGATTTCTCTGGTTTCCTAGTGATTTTTGTCTGTGGAATGTAAAGTGCTGTAGAGGTGGATCTCATTTTCCTAAGTGCATAAATGTCTTTCTGGTGGTGTTTGAAAGTATTCAGTGCCTTTGATGAGAAAAAGATAATTAAATGTTTGTTGAATTTGAATAAAGATGAGTTTTTTGGGGAATTAATTCTTCCTTGATGAGCTGAAAGAAACTGTGGGCTTTATTTGGTTTCATCTTCTCATTCTGTAGTAGAGGGAACTGAACCCAAAGAACTAAAGGAATTTCATAGAAGTGGCATAGGTTTCTCATGGTAGGTGAGAATTAAAGGAAACCAATATTTATTGCAAACCTATTATATGTTAGATGCCATATATGTAGCATTTAATTCTTAGAATTCTCAGGTAGTCACAACTTCAGAAAAGTTGAGTAAACTGCCCAAGGTAATAGAACTAATAAATTAGGGAGCCCAAATCAAATTTAGATTGATCTATGAAGTAGTGATTTTCTTTCCATTACCATATGCCATTTTCTACTTTTTGATTTCCCTGATTTTGTTTTCACCTTTTAACAAAAATATAAGATACCTTTGAT